CAATAAATAGATACATAAGTTTATATTTTGTGACGTCCGAATCATTACAAGATGTAAAATTGGATGTGACACAGTAAATTTTTCAAACATTACATAGTGTGACTATATTCATCTAAATTATAACGATTTTTTAAACTACGACTACAATAGAAACTAGGAAAGAAACTGCAATTAAAAAGCAAATATACAGGGATGTAATCCGGACATGTAAGAATATTTTATTATTCGAGGCAGATAGCGCCCATAGACTTACAACAAGAGAAAATAAACAAAGCTTAGTAGGAAAATCGAAAAACCAATCAATGGGGACTATGCATCAGAGACTGATCAAGAATTACATTGAAAAAAAGACTTTGATTAAAAATAAACAGTATTTATTATACTATCGACTAACCAAATTGGGTATTTTGACATTTATATCATTGAATATGATTAAATTACTATCAAAATTAACGTCTTTTACTAAACCTAATAAGTTTTTTTTTCTAATGAAATAAAAAGCTTTAATTACTCACCAATACTTAAATTATGAATGTCCAATGCAATATTAAAAAAAAATTTTGGAATATTACCTATAGGTATCAACTTGATCTAGACAACTTTTTTGCATTTAAATAGTTATAACAATTAACAAATAACAAATGTAAATGAGCAATAACAACACGTACATTTATAATTCTACAGTGCCTATTCCACCTGAATCGCCAACTGAAGCAATAACATATAATAGCTCAACAGTAACCGCCTGGTTTGATCTATGGGGAAGTGGAGGATGTGATATATTATATTATACAATCGAATGGAAACAACAAAAATCTGATGACTGGATTTTAAGTGATGTTAATAAACCAATAGCTCCAACAGAACGTATGTATACGGTTGACGGTCTTGAGCCGGCAACTAAATATCAATTGAAAGTTATTGCACACAATAATATTGGTTCATCGTATGCGTTGTATAATTTCACGACGCTCACTATTGATGGAGGTATTGTTGAATACTTTATTAACTAACTAAAATTCATAAACATATAAAAATTTATCTTCTTTCATCTATTTTTACACAGCGACTGTTATACCGTTTGATTTATATACTGAAATAACACCTGAAGAAGCTTCAGTATTTACATCAATCACAACTGCAATTTCCTTAATAATAGCTTTAATTGTTGTATCATCGATTGCAGCATTTACTTACTATTACAAAGTAATGAGTAAGTATCTTTCAGCAATAATATTATATGACCAAAATTGTTGAAATCTAATTTTATACCAGAACGCTCAGATGAAGAATCGGTTAGAGATCAAAGCCAACGGAGCCGTGATCAACGATACTCAGTCAGAGGGCAATCGCAACAAACCTTAAGTTGCGATTCTGTAACATTTAAAACCGATTCAACTGGTATTTTTTAACCATGATATAACATTACATATAGATACCTAATTGAACCGTTATCTAACATTTTAAATTATTTTTTTTAAAGAATATATGGATGAAATTTGTCCATATGCAACATTTGAACTTGCCAAACAGCCACAAGGTGAAAGTACGTTTAGTGGTAATATTTACAGTGGTCCATACCATTCAGTTAGAGGTTCGTTTGTATATCATCAACCAAAAGCATCAACTTCCGAACCCTATAATTTTGTTCAAGTAAATAAAATATCATAGTTAATCAATTATAATAACTATAATAATTCAACAAATGTAGGTTGTTTAGTTTACCTTAGAGTCCAGAAGCTACTAATTAAATTAGTCTAAAAGTATAGTATTACCCATTTAAGCTCAGTTGATTTTTTTGCGGTCTATCATCTATAGGGCTTCGTGATTATATTTAAAAAATTGACGGACTTGTAGATCAACTCAGGGGAGTGCAGATAAAAAATCAAACAATTTTAATGCATCTACCTCTAAGACCAAATGATTCTAGATGGTCGGACTCCAACAGAAAACAAAATTGTATAGATTAAAAAAATGATTTTAACATTTATTTTATACGTTTGATTCCGATTTTTTATCTGCTGATGTTTTAAAACATATTTAAATAACCTAGAATCATCTAGTGTTGGTGAAGACATGCTAAAATTGCTTATAATAAAATATATAAGGTCAACCCATCAATAGCTCTTGGGCTATTATTTTATTGTATACGCTGTTTACTTCTCTTAATTTTTTTTACTATTGTATATGCTTGTACACTAATAAAAATTTTTTTAAATTTTAACAAACTTTATTGCTTTAGAGAAAAGAGCCAGAGTATACAAAAGTTCGTCAAAAAGGAAGAAAACTTAGAGATCCTCATTCTGAAAGTCAAGGTGATAAATATTTAAAAATATAATGTACCTAGGTATTAAGATTTTTAGTTCTTAGTACATATTTGTAGAGTGCGTGTGTAGGTGTGTTGTATTTGTGTGTGCATTCGTGCGTGCGTGCGTGTGTTATACATTATTTAAAATTATGTTTAAAACTATTCTATCAGTCGCTATTTAAAATGAATTTTTAACAAAAATTACTAGTTATTTAATGAGGATTACAAATTAAACATTAAGAATTGGTCTGTTACAGAATCAGACAATTTAGGTAGTACAGATTCTGAGGTAAAGCGGATWCTAACACTTCACCTACCTATTTCAGAGTATGATACTCACGGTAGTGACTCTGACAATGGTGAAGCAAGACGAAATCAATCAGCAAGTCAAGAACTTGTTTCCTTTAGACACCGAATGAGTAGAGGTATTAAAGAAATTTTACCTTAAAATATGTTAATATTACACAGTTATAATGAATATATTTTATAGAAGTGAGTAATGAAGGCACCAGCTCTTCGTCAGAAGCCTCGATAGCAGAAGTCAGAAAACCCCCTGTAATTCCTCCTCTTCGAAAGCCTAAATCAAAAAGCCAAATATTTACAAAAAGGTCGCTGAAGAATAACAGTGGGTTTTCAAATCATAATGATGAAATTAACTTTAGGTACAGATGATAATAATTTTTTATAAGTTTTAGATAGAATATTATACATAATATATGTTTTGGGTTTTAGCGAGCGTTTAAATCCTCCGGCTAGGTTTTCCGACTCTAGACCAATGCGACAAAACGAGGGAAATGAATATGAACGACGCCCAAAAATATCATCTCATCAACGAAGATCACCTAGAAGACTAACACAAGAGACTTCATTCCAAATAGATGTCTAGTCAATTTAGTTATATATACCACGAAACATTTATTTATTTGCATTTGATTAAAACAATTTTTTTATTCCTACATTTTGTACTTTTGTTTATTGTAAGACTCAAAGTGTAATATTTTTTACTTTAATACCCAAAAAGTTTTATACCTCTTATTAAACAATTATTGAAGTTTAATCATTTTCACAAATATTTTAATTTGTAAGTTTATCGATAAAATTAATTATTTATATAACCTTATTACATATTTCTATAAATAATTGTATTGTTTAAGAGATTATATAATTCTTTTTCTTCTTTCATATCGTTTAGATCTGGGTCATCCAAAAGCTACGACTGTTGCTACTTTGTCATTTGCCAGGTTGAAGTCATTTTTATCACAAGTAGTCCCTTTTAGAGGGCATTTTTGTAGATAATCCATTGTCGTGTTTAACTACATTTTCAGTTGATATAGTGTCTTTTTCTCCTAATAAATTCGATTTCTTAAGTGTAGTTTTGCATCATCCAGACCCTTTTCTTAAGCGATTTTAAATCCTTCCATTTCTCTCATTTCCAGTTTTTCCCTATATAGGTAGCTCTTCTATTAGTTCTCTCGTGGTGCTTCATTCTCTCTCTTTCCATCTGTGGATTCTTTCTTTTTCTGGTGAGTTCTTTATTGGTTAGATCTTAGCAAGAAAACTTTTTTCTGGGTTTAAGTTGTGATTGTGGTAGGTTTTATCCATGTAGCGGGTGACGGGGATCATTTATAGTTGTTTGTGTCGTTCTATCTCTGATGCGMTATCTCTCCTAATATCTGGAGGGGCTATTTCTGATAGTATTTCCTCGACAAATGTTGGTTAAAGGCATCCTGAGATTATCATGCATGTCTCTTTCAAAGTAATGTCGATCTTTTCCACGTGACATTATTTGACTCGCACAGAGACAGTATATTCGGCTGTTAAGCAGAATAGAGCTAGTGCCGATGTTCTAACTGTACTTGAATAAACTCCCCGCGTTGTTCCTGTGAGCTTCCTAATCGGGTTGTTTTTTGCGTCTTACGTTTCCGCAGTGATGTTTGAATAATTAAAAGTGTATACTGTGGTTTTTTTTTAGGTTTGGTTTTAACCAGTAATCTTTGCAATAATATGACATTTCTTTTAGTAATTTCTATGTTTTCAAACTAATTATTCTGGACAATGAGTGCTAAATCGTCAACGTATATGAAACGCAGGGTTCCTAATGGAACACTTTTAGTGTTTTTGAAAATCCTTCAATGATTATTGAAGTTGTTATAACAGTTAGTCCTGAAAACGGCTGTTTTATATTCTATAACAAGGTTGACATGGTGGCAGAAGTAAGGATTCAGATCCGTTCGGTGGTGATAAATTCTGGTCTAGAAATATCGTTATACAGGGGGTGCCACGTACAGACTTTTACCATGCCCCCAATATAAAATTAATAAAATTATAAACATCTCCATAAGCTGCTCAAAATAATTGAAAATCCAATATAAGTTACTATTCTTAGAAGCAACTTCAACTGTCTACAACAGAGGTTCCCAAACTGTGCGCCGCGGTGTGTTGTCAGGGGAGTCGCGGCTGTGCCTCACTTCCGACTATGTTATCTGGTCTAAAAATAAACAACAATATTTTACGATGAAAAAAAGGTCGTAAATTGTATTAAGGGTGCCATGAGAAAACTTCCGTTCTAAAAGGGCGCCACGAGTATGAAAAGTTTGGAAACCTCTGGTCTACAACATACATTTTTTGAGTTCTTCTTTACTTTTAAAATATTTTAAACGTCAAAACTAAAATCTGCAATTTACCTAGTTGGTATGAATCCACTATATTATCTAAATATAAATTTAAACAATAAAATCATAATATTTTCCACCTAAACAATTTGTTTATTTGTTTCATCAATATTAAATCATTGGATAATTTAACAATATTATACATTTTTCATACACAACTGTATAATATAAAATAGGCAACCAAAAATCATATGTATAGACTATAGATGAATAAATCTCATAAATTATCTTAAGCATCTTCCTACATATATCTAAGTATATTTCGAATCATGAGTTATGGTTTTAATGCAATGTCAACTGGAAAGTTTTAGCTCAAAATTGTACCATCATAATATCATGCACTATATCTAATACATAGAGTTAAGAATTTAATAATAATTTATTCATTAATTTATGTGTTTAACTAGTCATAAATAATAAAACGATTAATAATAAATTATAAAATGTTATATTTGGATTATTATAATTTCCGTAATATATGTTTTATGCTTATAAAAAGTATTCGTGTAGGATCCTACAATATAATATGCAACACAATATATTATCCTATATATAAATGTTTTTTTATAGTATTCTTTAAAAATTAAAAATTAAAAAATATATTATGTTTATTATGTTGTTATTCAAGTAATCAAAAAATAGTTTTAGTGATATAAAACTAAACTAAAGAGTTAACTGTTATTTTGTTCTGTTAGCAAAAGCAGCGAATTGCACAGTTATAATATGAATTATATTACAATTGTGTTAGTATATTAAATATTATAATAATAAATTAAATTAAAATGCGTATTTCATAATTATATTAACGTAACTGGTTTAAAAATATGGAATGAATATTGTTTGGATCAAACGATTTCTATACCTATTAAGTATAAATATTATTTAGTATAATTATTCACTATGGTATGTATAATAAATCATTTACTTATACTGTATAAGTTTAGTACTTAGATAAATTCCATCAATATTATTTCCAGTTAAAAATTATAATATAATAAAATGTTAATTATGTATATTTTGTTGTGATTTTGTTATTTTAAAATGACGTTTATTGTATTGATAGAAAAATGATTTATGTAGAAGAGTTTAATAAAAGGTTCTGTTTTTTTTTGTTTTAAATAATTTTTTATATAAAATAAAGTCAGCTATACATTTTAAAATAGGATTTTTCATTTAATTTTAGGTATGATTACTAATATAATTAATAGCTATGTATAATTATAATTTATTCCTTAAGTGAAGTATAAAAAAGCTTTATTCGAGTCTATAAGAAAACCACCAAAAATTTATCCATGGATATAATATGAACTATGATGTGATCTTCACCAATCTTCTTTCAACTGTTTTTCAGATAAAGTCGATCTTCTTCGTACTTTTATCTTTTTTAACGACACAAAAACCTCAATAGACAACATGTTTCTTCATCATAACTAATCCTCCGTTAAAATTACAAATTTTCAACTTTAAAATATAAAATTTTAAAAATGAACAACATTCAATTATTTTTTTTTTTTAATGAGAATGGGTTAGAAGGCGCCCGCAGTCAAATACGTTTTAAGAAGCAAAAAAAAGCGGCTAATTAGATGTCGATCTGCTGTACAGTAGTATAAAAGTTAGTTATTGTAATGGATGGTATAAAATTTTAATTCAATGATATAAATATATAATATCATTGTATACGAAAAACGATTCAGAGTGGAGACATTATAAAGTATTAATATAAGTCATTATAACTACATTAGCTATTAAAATTATTAAAATTATTAGAATATAAAGTAGGTATACTCTAGAAATTTCAAGTACTCATGAATAATATTTTTAAATTACGACAATATAACTAAAATTGTTATTCTTGCGAGTTATTTAATAATATGTAATTTCATTCAAATTTTAACTTTAAATAATTATTTAAAAAAAAATAAAAAACTGTGTTTGGCCGATGCTATTGGTGGACTGTACAAAGGTTAACATGGTAATTATAATAATTATTATATATATTATATTGGTATATATAATCATGTATATACCGATATTATGTCGTATTGTGTAATATATCCTATCGTGGTTCAACGATTTTATTAAAAATGTCAGGAGGAACAATACTCGAACTGCGCAAAGCACCATACGATCCGACGAGGAGACAGCGCTGTTCTTCAGTTGTCGTTGCTCCTGAGGTAAATATATAGTAATGGTAGCCGCAGCTTCACGCTCTTATAGTCGAAGGCAACCAGACAAAATAAAATAACGTGGATATACGTGATAGATTACGTATAGTGTTCCGGTGTTCGATGGTAACTGGTAAGTCACCCATCACTCGTTTTCTCTAAGGCCCACCGATACTAACAACGCCGAAAACCATATAGAGTGTATCAGAGGATGGTAATTTAGTCGCCGACGATTACGCAATACCACTTCTTCGATTCGCGTTTTGTTATTTGTTATTATATTTTTTTGTCATCGTCATCACCACTGCTGTTGTCGCATAGGGAACTAGCCGATCGCCGAGTATCGTCATTCTTGAGACTGCGTCACACATTACCTCTTCTTATACGTTTGTCTGCCAGAACGGTCAGTGATAATATTTTGTAGTGATGTGATACGTTTGTTATAAAATAAAATAAGAATACATATATTTTTTTCTCTTGGCGATGGCGGCCCCCTTAATGTTTATAAATGTGTAAATTGGCCCTCAAATTAAAAAAGGTTGGGCCGCCATTATTTAATTAATTACTATAAAAATTAAATTATTTTGATTTATATTGTAACATTTGTAATTACTGTAAAGATGACAGATATATCCAAAAACATATTTTACTAAAATAAGTAGGTACTTAATGTACGACCATTGACTTATTATACCTGAAAGTACAGTATTTTTATTTTTATTGATAATAACTGTCTCTGCGAATGGGGCCATTGCAGGTTACGTAAAATTGTATATAAATGTTAATTTAAATATTCATTGTAACACTAAATAAAAACTTAAAAGTACATTATTGTTTTTATACAGATTATAGATATTAAATCAATAAATCGATTTTACAACACAAGAACCTTTGCAAATTGCAATTCAACAAACAATTAATATTAACGTTAATATTTCTTAATTTAAGTATTTACTGCAGGTAAAATGTGTATATTCACTATTCATATTTGTCTCATCTGAATATATTGAATATACTTAAAAATTGAGACTGATCATAATATGACATTTTTACTTTTGAAAATKATTAATAAATTACCAATAATGATACCCATTTAATTTATGTTTTATTTTTAATAAGCCATTGAACATTACTTTTATTTTAAAGCATACACTACTATTATTTATTTGTAATAAATAATAATATAAAATTTTATATATACCTAATTTTATCTTTGTTTATCATAAATATATCATGCAAGTCGTTTTTATAAAATATATTTTATTGTTTATTTTCTTACCAAATTATTTACTATAATTGTGTGTAGCCACTAGAAGTAACGTAGCAAGATGGGAAAGGGCTCCGGGGCAGTAATTAATTTAGACCAATATAATTTTAATCAAAATTTAAAATATTAAACATATTGTAATTTGTAATCATGAAAATATGGACGAGTATATACACTACGGTATCGTAATTATTACGAACGAAATTATTAAAAATAGCCTAATTATTTTTAATAAATAGTAGTAGTAGCCAGTAGGTATAAAACGTTTGGGGAAATTACGATAAACCCTCAAAGCGACAAGGGCCCCTAAGCTCTGGGGCCCCGGGGCACTGCCCTACTTTGCTCTAAGATAGCTACGCCACTGTCCACTAGGTACTTATAATAATAATGTATATGTACTTAATTCATACATACACATATTATTCTTTAAACATAGTGCTTTTTTCCATATTTATCTACAGTAATTCATTAATTAAAATGTGTTACCATAAATTATATCTTGAAATTAAAAAGTAAATATAAACATATATAACATTATTACAATATACCTATGTATGATTTTTTGATTTATAGATTATAATAATACATCAATAGGTACTTATAAGTTTTAATAATATGTAAATTAAATCTGTAATTCATAATTATSCATAATATATAATAGCATTTTAATATTTATGTGAATTGTTTATTGTTGGTTTATTACAATTTGTTTGAATAAAATGCTATATTGTTGAAAAACTAAAGGTATTTTGTTACGGTTAATATTCTTTTCATTATTGCTTACGAAAAGTACGTAAGCTGAATCCTGGTGGGATGTGAAACCTCCGAGTCCACAAGTTAAAATAGTTAAATACGCTTTAACTATTCTTGTCGCATCGTTAAACAATTAAGAAAACCTACTAATTAGCCTAAAATGTATGGTTATGTTTAATAATACCAATATTAAATGTGTTTAACTATAGGTAAATTTGTATTTAAAATGTAATTTACTTTAATGTGTTAATTTTTTACTTGTTTCCAGTCACTTGTCATATAAAAATATTTTTAAAAGTATTCAGAGTCAGCGTAACAATAATGATGTAGGACTGGGACGGTCTGGCTGTAACTGTGATTGTTATGAAAATCATTATTATAGGTACGACTGGTACGAGTATGTAACGTGTACAGCAATATATACCATGTACCGACGATTATTCTTAGAATTAATATAATACTTAAATTCGCCGTTAAATAATATATATTTTACTATTTGTAAAATGTYCATCATTCATAACTTATTAATTATCGAGAAAAACATTTCAACATGATTTAAGCCCGGTCCACACCAAGAAACAAAACCTGAAACATTGTTATCGACAAAAAGTATCCGATAAAAATTAAAAACACATGCATTCAGATCAGTGATGGAGTAACTTGTAAACATTTATTCTCCACTAAAATTTGATTTCAAGATGTCGTTGCGATAGCCGCCACAGCTTGCGTAATTTTAAGCTTAGAATAAAAAAAAGAGATTTTGGATTCATCCAAAGAGAAAACAATATACCTACTGGTAGTGATTTAATTATTGATCTTCAACGCGATGACATTGATCTAACTAGATAATTAAGGTATGTTACAGAACCATTGAACAATAATATCTATAAATGTATTTTACTAAATTATATA